GGTGGGAATCGAGGGGCACCGTCTGGTAGTAGTCGTCGTCGTAGGGGTCGTAGACGTGCACCTGGGAGCAATGGGAGCGTGGCATGAGGTTGGTGCCCACACTGGGGCCACATGGGGTCCGGTGGTTGTGCTGTTGCAGCGCCTCGGTTTCCCCTCCGTGTGACGGGGGGCTGAATCGCTTGGGTTCCCCCGCAGTGCTGACAGGGGGGCCCAGAGTGTCCGAAATGCCAGGGGCAGCTTATCTCAAGCGCCCGAATCACCTACCTGTGCTCAAGTCACCTTAGCTGTGTCCCCTGTCACCTTAACTATGGCCCCTGTTACCTTAACCACGTCCCCATCACCTTAAAATTCTGTCCCCATCACCTTAACTGTGTCCCCCATCACCTTAACTCTGCCCACATCCCCCTTAACTGTGTCCCCCATCACCCGGTGTCCCCTGTCCCCTTAACTCTGCCCCACTGCCCTAACCGTGTTCTCCCCACCCTTAACTCTGTCCCCGTCCCCCCAGACCGCTGAACGGGGTCACCCTCAGCTTTTGTCATCTTCCATTGGTGGCATCACCGGCGGACTGCTCTATCGCTACCACTTCTCCTCCACCTTCTTCCCCGTCTGGCTCCAAGGGCTTTACTCCCTGTTCCCCGGGGTTCCCCGATGGGCGCAGGGTCTCGGGGGGGCCACCCTGAGCTCAGCGTCAGCCCCGGGTAGAAGTGGGGGACACTCAGGTTGGTGTAAACTCCAGCCGCGCCTGCCCCAAGCCCGTGCCGGGACGGTGCCCCTGCTTTTGGGGATGAAGCCTCACCGGGGTGGATTTAGCCTCCAGCACGGCCATCTTCCAAGCGCTGCAAACAAAACAGAGGGACCCGGTTTTGGGGTGGGAATTGTCCCCATGGGGCTGCCCGGCAGCTGCTCCGGACACACACGTCCCTCTCCCTCCCCCTGGTGACCTGGCTGCGGCCGCGGCGCTGACCTTTAATTCCCTATTAGCCAGCGCTGGGGTAATTGGTGGGGATGGGAAGATACTGGGAGGTACCTGACGCCCCGGGGATGGGCACAGGGCTAAAACAAGGGCAGGCAGGAAAATGACATCTAAACTGGGAGAAAAAAAGCAGGTAACGGATGAATTTCCATTCAGCTGCGGTCAAGCTCAATTGATGGAGCTCAGCTTGGCCACAGCTGAACATCTCCCTCCATCGAAGTGTAGCTGAAGGTTTCCCACTTTTTATTTTTTTATAAAAAAATAGTTTTTCATTTTGTTATAAATGTTTTAATTTGTATAAAAACAAGTTTCTTCATTTTTTATAGAAAGACATGGGGAAACAGTGCTAAAAGTGGGTGTTGCCTCCTGCTGGGCACGGTCTTAAACCAATAAGGACTTCACTTCCACACTATTTATCACCAAATACCGATGGAAACCCTTCCCCAGTGATCCTCGGTCAGGCCAAGAGGTGATTTCTCATCCGGGAGGGAAACCCGCCCCGCAGGAGACCGACTGCTTAAAAATAGCTGCTTTCGGCTCCGAATTCTTCAGCGGGAAACCCAAACCTCTGCCTGCGCCTATCGCCCTGCGAGCGAACGCGGGTTGTTTGAGAAAACAGGGGCCATGTGGGGTTTTAGCCACGGGTGGGAACGCGGCAGGAGCAAGACGGGGCTCTCGCGCAGCCGAGGCTCACTCCAAGTTTGGATAATTCGCATGAAAAAGCCTCCGAAGGGATTTCAGCGCCGCCGTGGCGAGATTTTGGCTTACATGGCGTCATCCTCGCTCTCGGCGCACAGTGTCGTCTTGGAGCTGTCCCGCAGCACGATGGTCAGCAGGCAGTTGCGGTTCTTCCCCTCGGGCGGCTGCACGTCTGGAATCGGAAGGGGCAGGATCCGGCCTCAGCAAAAGAGCCCACGGACCCTCTCGGGAGAGGGTCAGGCTCCAAATTACCCCTGGCACGAGCGGCATCCCTGTCTGCTGCTGACGGATGCAAGCGTTGAAAAACTGCTGGGACACCGTGCTCCTAATTTGCGTTTAATTTTGGCTCCGTCTCCACTTACAAGTTACATTCAGGCTCTCAAAGGTTAAAAGCGACGCCGAGCGAAGAGCTGGCGAGCACAAACTTCCACCCCCGCGGCAGAAACAAAGTGGAAGGGCAGAAAATTGCCAAAAATCCGATCGAGGCCACGAGGCCGAGCTGCGTTTGCTTTCAATTTGCCAGATTGCTGCGAGCACCCAAATTTTGTCAAAATGCAAGACGCTCGCCGCTGGAGTTGGATCAGGATGCTCAAGCAAGACCAAAATCTTAAATCCACGAGGTTTGTACAGCTTTCCCCTTTCTCGGAAGCTCGGTGGGACCCCTCCGGTGTGGATAAACCTTCAGATTCATGCTCCCACCGTGGTGTCCCGGCTTCGCCGCCACCGCCGCTCGCAACCCAAGAAAGGCGCTTTGTGCGGCGGCCGTGGGCTGAGCCGAGCTGCTGCTTTGTTCTCCTTGTTTGTGCGAGACGGCGAGGGATGAGTCAGGGCCGTGGGATCGTGTTTTGAACAAGCACGAACTAGGAGGAGAGCTTTTCCTTCCTTCCCCCGGGGAAAAGGAAGGGAAGAGAAGATGCGCCGTGCATCTCCTGGGGGACAGCCCGGCCCTGGCTGGGAGCTAGAAGGGGGTAAATTACGCAGCCTGGATTATTTTGGGGGTATCCTGGATGTGCGCAAGCACAAGCAGAGCATTGTTGAAAAGGGTTACAGCTACGTGGAGAGCCCTGCACGGGATGGGGTCGGGGACACGGGGCTTGGGGACGCGGGGCTTCGCTCACCTCTGCACTCGCGGCCGGTCCTCACATCCCGGCAGCTGTATTTGATGTGGATGCGGCCGTCCATGTCGCGCTGCGTCTCGTCGTGATAGTAAACCAAACTGCCATCCAGGTGGAGGACGAACCAGTTTCTCTTCCAGCGGCGCAGGATGGAGCCTGACGGGATGGGGAGGAGGAGAAGGAGGGCAGCGAGCCCGGCGGGATACGGCCAACGCACTCACGAGACCCAACGCCGTCCCCCAAATTTGCAGCCGGATCCCACCACCCCCTGCAAGAGCCGCTGCATCCCGCAGGCCACCGGGGCCTGGCATGAGCATCCGGGGCAGCATGGCCAGGTGGCTTTAAATTAAAAAGAGCTGCCAAAAAAAAGCCATCAGGGCATCTTGGTGCTGCCCCGCCGTGCGCGCGGGACCGCATCCAGCCCCGGACATGGAGCCACGTGTCTGTTTTCGTGGCAGAAGGCCCCTCTCTCCTCTTACGTAAATCCGCGAGCAGCTGAGCCGCGATTTCCTCGCTGCCATGGATTAACCGCCTGGGTCGGGGGCCTGTCCCCCCCCCTCTCCATGCCTCTTCCCAACATCCCGTAGCCAAAACCTCTCTGGGTTTTATTTTTAGGGGGGGTTCCCAACATGGAAAGCTCAAGGGTCACACTTACTCTGCCGCCAAAGCCAACCGCTCT